GTTTTCCTTTTTTTAAAGAAAAAAAAAAAAGGCAAGCGAATGAAGGAGAGTGGAGAGAGCATGCGACGGGGTCGTCCTGCACCGAGGAGACAAGCACAGCCCCGGCGCCTCCCCTCCGCTGTCCCGCACGCGCCCGGCACGCAGCAGGCGCTACGGAACGTGGAAGAGCAAGCCCAAATGTCAGCTTCCCTAGGACTCGCCAAGCCTCCGCCTTCATATGGAAGGCACCAAGTGGGGAGCCAAACCTGAGCCCACCCAAAGGCAATCTGCCACCCCTCTGCCCGGGGAAGGTGAGCGCCCGCTCATCACCCCACAGCAAAGGAGCTGCCTTGGGAAGAAACCTTACAGATCCTCCCAGTCCTGCCGTCAGGGCAGCCCTTCTTGGTGAAACCCTCAATTCCTCCTGTGTCAGTCACCATGTGACTCCACCTCAGTGGAGACGGGAAGGCCCTAGTCAAAGCTTTCCCCCAATAGCCTTGACCGTGGAACTTAAGACTCCCGTGGGCCTTCGCATGACCCGTGAGCTCGGTGTATTTGAAGACTGATCGTTCATTCATTCACTACACACGAACTGGATGGTCCCTCGCAAGGCAGGCTCTGATGCCCACCTCTCGGCTCCTCTTATTCAGATTAGAAATGCCAGCTTCTGCTGGCTTTCATCTGAGGCCACATCTTCAGCCCTCTCCTCCTCTGGACGCACCCTGCCCTTGTCCTTAGTTTAGAAACAGCTCTTGCCCTCCAAAGCTGAGGGATCCACCTACTCGGGAAAGTGACCCACAGAGCCTGAAGCTCCTCTCCCCTGACCACACCCACGGACAGGCTGGGCTGGAGCCTCCAGGATTCCTTGGTCCTGAGAAACCAGGTTCTCACACGCTGCTGTCAGCCCTCAGGGAAGCGGCCTATTTGTCTTTCCTCCAGTGGGGCCCTATATGGTGTGTGATCAGTCAGAGCCTGGTCTTCTAGGAAGTGACTCACTCCCAGGTTGGTCCGAGCCCTGAGGGGTCTTTGGGGCTGGACTGTAGGAGGTGGATCCCAGGAGTCCTCGAGCTTCCCCAAGCTTTACACTAAGACCCCACAGCTCACCCAAAGTGAAGTGGTCACCACCCCTGGTGCTCAGGAATCATGCTGCCTTCAATCCCTGACTCCCTGGCAGAACATGAGTCCCTTCACCACCACCCCTCCCTGAGGAAGAAATGTTATCCCTTATAAGCAAGGGGTTACTGCCCTCTAAACATGAAGAAATAGACAGAAATAGAGGGGAAGGGGAGACAAAGGGCAGTTCCCAGGACGGATCTCAGCAGGTGCAGTTGTTGAAACCCCAATAATAAATGCATATGGGCTTAGAATGGTGCTTAACGTTTGTTGATTATGGTGAATAATAATAAATCAGTCAACAAAGGAATAAAGGAGGAAGCGAGAGCACTAACATGCAAGTACTTACTATTATGCCAGGTGCTGTTCTGAGTATTTTACAAATACCATTGATGTTAACCCTTACGACCACCCTGTGAGGTAAGGGGGTGTTATCCCCATTTTGCATATGAGGAAACTGAGGCTCAGAGGGGTGAATAACTTCCTCAAGATAGCACAGCTAATAAAAAGAAGGAACCAAGATTTCAGTCTAGATCAGCCTCTCAAAAGCTCATGACCTTAACCACGATCCCAACTGCCAGAAAAGGATGTCCTGGAAGGGCTGGCCCTAAACCAAAATAAGGCCCCACCTTCTTGGGAGCTCAACAGCTAAACATTCAGGGGCCGGAACGACGCGGCCTGGCAGGGCCTCTGAAGGTGTGGGATTCCCCACCTCAGGACAGGCGGGAGCACAGGGTGCTGCCCGGGTGAGCAGAGGTTTGGGGAAACCCAGTGGCCAATATGTCATTGACCTTGGAGCCCCAGAGGCAGGCCCTGGGTGCAACCGGCAGGCCCCAACAGCTGGGGAGTCCCAGACACTCTCGCCAGCTGATGCCACAGCCCTGGGCAGCTGCCCTACCTCTCTCTCCCTCTCAACAACCCTTTCCTCCACCTCCTGGCCTTCATTTGGGGACACATCCCCCTCTTTACCTCCGTGTAGGGCTGCTGTCCTCCCCCTCCTGACTGCCAACTCCATCCTTTGGGGATGGGAATCTTCTTTGTCTCCTAAATAATTTAAAAGACATTCTGTCTGTTGCTCACTGGAGAGCTTGTTCTGACATCTCCCTGGGAGGTTTCTTCCTGAAATCTAACTTCCATCTATTCTACAGCGACTGAGAGCAGGGGTTTAAGTGCAGTAGTTAAATGTTATGTTTAGCAGAACTTAGTTTCCCAAGTTGAATCACATGTAGAAGTCCATTACACAGCAGATCAGGGCTCAGCTGCTCCAGTTAAGCAGGGAGAGGGTGTGAAGGCTGTCCCAAAAGCATTTTGCGGAATCTTGGAGCTCAGGAAGCGTAATTTGCAAATCTTAGGGGCAGGAGTGGAGAAGGGGAGAACCAGGGGTAGGCCAGGCCGAGACCTCAGGCCCGTCTTCAGCCTCTGAGTGGGGCAGGCCACAAGCTCCCCTTCTGCTTAATGAGGGGTCACTGAGGTCCCTTCCAGCCCTGATGGTCTCATGGGAGGAGGAACCCAGGGCAGAGCTTGGATGTGGAAGGGCTGCTCAGGGCCCAGGTAGGGAAATGATTAACCACTGGCTGCTCGGTCCACCCCTCACCCCCTGCACACAGGCCAACTCAGGGAGGAAAGGACGAGACTGCTGACCAGGGCGCCCAGCCAGCCAGCTCACCGCTGCCCCCATCCCAGGGCTGGAGCATCCGAATTTCTACTTATTGCCAAGGATGGGCTAGGCTGGCCCTCAGCTGCCCACCCCTCGCTGGAGCCACACTCATCAAACCTTCAGCACAGTCCTCCCCAGCTGGGAGGCTCGGTTGACAGTGACTCACAGCCCTTGCCCGCCTGCCCGCTGAGGCTTGTTGTTCACTCAGGGAGCGGAGCGGGAGCGGTCCTCTGTTCCAGGTGCCTCATCAGGGTGACTGTTGGCAGCAGCTGCGTCTGCCCACGGGGCTCTCTGAGGGCTGGGGCCGAGCAGGGAGGGCAGGCCAGGGGCTCCTGTGGCACGACTGGTTTCCCAGGGGTTCCCTGGCACTGACACTGGACATCCCATGAGAACTTAGCCCCACCCGTGCAGCCACATGAGTCCATGTCCATCTGAGCAGGGAACAAGCTAAGACCAGAACTCGCTCTCATTTTAAGAGTTCCAGTGCCCTGGCTGCTCCCCCTGCAAAACACACACCCCTTATTCATATCCAAACATGTTCTCAGACACAAAATCACATATATCCCACCAGACTGTGAGCTTCTGAGGAATTAGTGTCTGGTTTGTATTTTTAACCCAATGCACAGTACCAAGGTTTTCCATAAACATTTCAACTTAACATATTTGGACTTCCAAACATGGCAACAGAAGAACCTACTGCCCACACAGACTGCTCATCACTACACAGGCCATAAACATGCTCACCCACACGTATATAAGCAGACGTTCACAGGCACAGATATGCCCACACCTAGAAGCAGAGACACTCCCACTTGACCCCCCCATGCACACTAACCCACATACAGAGTCCACGGCCTTGACTGTCCAGCCCCACCCTCAGCTCAGACTTCCCTGGGTGTGGCCAACCTCTATAGCAGCCTGGGTTCCTTTTCCAGAGCACTGAGTTCCCTCCATTCTTGGGCTTACCTTTTCCCCTCGCTAGACTCCATGGGCCCCTCTGCACTGGGGTTACCAGGCAACTGTGCTTCAGAGCCCTGTGAAGTCTTGAGGGTCTGGGGAGGTGGCCCCCCAGCACTGGGGGATGAGCTGCTATGGGGAGGCTGAGTCTGAGACAATGAAGTATCTCTGGAGCCCTTCGGGGAGGGCAGGAGGAGGAGTCCCTAGGCTCTGGAAAATGAGTGAAAGATGCCTTAATGGGGAAGGCCTGTGGTACCAAACGGCTGGAGGCTGCTGATCTGCACCTGCAGAGAAAGCCCTGACCTCAAAAAGCCCTCAGAACCCAAATGCTCACCTGAGAGGAACCAGGAGGCCAATTTGCACCTACCTAGAGACTAAGGGATCAAAGGAGTAGGGCTCCAGCTCTGGGCTACTGCCTGAGCTTCGGTTTCACTAGGGACAAAGTATGTATGTATGTATGTATGTATGTGTGTGCGCGCGTGTGTGTATGTGCGGCTACTGCCTGAGCTTCGGTTTCACTAGGGACAAAGTATGTATGTATGTATGTATGTATGTATGTGTGTGCGCGCGTGTGTGTATGTGCGTGTGTGTGTGTGTGTGTGTGTGTTGAGGAGGGGGAGGTGCCTAGTGGGGGAAGAGGAGGTAAAGATGCTCAGGCAAGCACTTCTGCGGAGAGGTGTAGGGTAGCTCCAAGAGGAGTCACCAATCACGATGAGGGGTGCTGCCTCCTGGACACCCCGCACCCCAGGCTTCTCTGACCCTGACAGGATGTTTAGCAGGCAGGGAGAAGATACCCAATTCCCACCTTTTGAGAGACCAGTTCACAAAGATTGCAGCACACAGGGGATCAGCAAATATCATGAGGTCCCCAGCCCAGATGCCACCCCAAAACGCCCTAATCAGAAATTGAGCTTCCTTTGGGGTGGGGGTGGGGGGATGTCTGTTTCCCTCTGGTCCTATTCACTAGTCCCTGTTCTGCTGACTCTCCAAGGTGGTGCCACCCCAACTGCCCCTACCAAGAGGGGCTGAGGAACACTTCCCAGGGGCCCCCTCTAAAATTCTCTACCAGAGACACCGGGACAGTGAGGGCAGCTTCTCTCAGGAATGAGACTTGGAAGTAACTCCTGAACACTTCTCCAGTCCCCCAAAACGTTCCCTCCCCCCCATAGAGGGGGGTCACGCCCCGGGGGGCTGTCCAGGCTGGGGACCAACCTTCCCCAAACACCCCGTGCGGAGCCTCAGGTTCCAAGGGGGAAGACAGGAAGCTGCCGGGAAGCGAGAGCACCTGCCCTGTCACCTGAAGGGTCCCGAGTTTGGTCCCAGTTCCGTCCCCCCTGGAGAGCAGCAAGACCGGGGTCCAGCCGCAGTGCCAGGGTCCCAGGGCGAGGAGGCGGCCGGGGACAGGAGCCCCGAGGCGCGCCGCTCACCTGGACAGCGCCGACCAGTGCTTCCTGCTGCCAGCCATGCCGCCCGCCTGCTGCCGGAGCCCCGCGCCGCCGCCGCGCTTTCTATCCGGGACCAGCTTCAGGTGGGCCGAGAGAGGGTCAGGCACTGAGCATGGGGAATCTTATCTTCCCTGGTAGGTCAGAACTGCGAGTCAGTGGCAGCAGTTTCTGTCCTGAGAGGAATGAGATGCAGCCCCAAGCACCTGCATAAGAGGGAAGGGAGCCAGAACTGCCAGCATTCTCCTGGGCCTTGCCGCCCAGCTTGAGCCTCCTCTCGGTGCTATCCAGGGACAGTGGTCTCTACAGTGCCCTCCAGCTCTAAGATCTTATAGTGAAGGGCAAGCCAGCTGCTGAGCAGAGGCCTGGAAACGCACGTAGGCAGCCTGTTAAGTTATCTGCTTCCCAAAGCCCCCCTCCTCCAGGGAGCCTTCCTTGTTGGCATAAGAAGTGACAAGTGAGGTTCAGCGAATGACTGCTGCACTGGAAGGCTGGAGGCATGGCTTTGAGCTCTGATTCTGCCATTTATGAGCTATGTGACTTGGGGCCAATAGCTTCAGTTTTCTCATCTGTGAAGTGGGAATAATGATACTTTGCTCTGCTTCTTTCCAGGTTGTGGGATTCAAATAAATTCTCTGATGGTGACACTGGAGTGAGCAGCTTGAATGTTGACAATGTCCAGAGAGTTCTGAGCAGAGGCCAAGGCAGGACCCTGAGCCATTTGCTCTTTCCAGGGAAAGAGAAAGAGGGGATGGCATTCAATACGCTATGTCCCTGCATACTCTGATCCGGGGTCTGACACTGTCTCCTTGGGGACCTAGTGAATGTTCTTCCCATGGCTGGTCAGTAGTGGCAGTTCAACATAGGAAGAAAAATACTCCTACTCATTTGAAGGCTGGCCCTGCCAGGGACACCTCATGAAGCCAGGTATCTAAAATCCCTAAATCCAGGGCTGGCCCCATGGCTCACTTGGGAGAGTGCGGCGCTGGGAGCGCTGAGGCCGCAGGTTCGGATCCTATATAGGGATGGCCGGTGCGCTCACTGGATGAGCACGGTGCAGACCACACCGTGCCGAGGGTTGCGATCCCCTTACCGATAGGAAAAAAAAAAAAGCATCCCCAAATCCAACACCCTCTATGGATATAAAAACCCAAATACATGGAAGGAAAGTTGGTATGCAGACAACTGTAAAGGTAACAAAAAGTAAATTACATCCTAGGGACCAAATAGTTCCTTGAGAGCAGGCATTATATTTACTAGACATTTCTATGTGCCTGGCACTGTGCTTGGTGCTAAATCGGTATGTTAGTTTCCTAAGTCTGCTGTAACAAAGTGCCACAAACTGGGTGGCTTGAAACAACAGAAATTTTTTTTCTAACAGTTCTGAAGATTAGAAGTCTGAAGTCAAGGTGTCGGCAGAGCCACGCTCCCTCTAAAGTCCTCTCCCTAGAGGGGAGAATCCTTTCTTCTTTCTAGCTTCTGGTAGTTGCTGGCCATTCTTGGAGTTCCTTGGCTTGAGGTGCATTATTCCAATTCTTGCCTCCATTATCACATGGCATTCTGCCTGTGTCTCTGTGTCTGTGTCCAAGTCTCCCTCCTCCTGTAAGGACATTAGACTAGGGCCCACCCTGATCCAGTATGTCCTCATTTTAACTTGATTACACCTGCGAAGACCCTATGCATACTTCCAAATAAGGTCACGTTCATTGGTACCAGTGCCTAGGGCCCACCCTGATCCAGTATGTCCTCATTTTAACTTGATTACACCTGCGAAGACCCTACGCATACTTCCAAATAAGGTCACGTTCATTGGTACCAGTGATTATGAATTGACACATCTTTCTGAAGGACATAATTCCACCCACTGCAATCAACAAGTGCCTTTAACATTCAATGACACAAACATGATAAGGACTTAGTTTCTGACGTCAAGACATTCCCAGTCTAGCAGTGAAGACACACACATGCTGGTGCACGTCCACAGATGAGCATACACACACCCCAAGCCTCATTCAAGTCAGACTGTGATAAAAATTGAGATTGTGTCACCAGGAGGGATTGATTCTAATGGAGGGATTAGGAATGTCTTCACAAAGGAAGGGACGTCTGTGTTGGGCCTTGAAGGTTAAGTGAGATTCACCTGTCAGAAAGGCAGTAAGGGCATCTAGCTACAGGACACAGCAGAAACAAAGACATTATGAGCACAAAAGTGAGAGGTGAGTGTGGAACGAAGAGAAACCTAGTGTGCTGAAGCATCGAGTACCTTCCAAGGCCGAAGGGAAAGATTGGGGACAGATAATAAGGACCCGCGTATTGTGCTGAGGACTCAATGAGCCTTTATCCTGTAGAATATGTGGAAGTTGAAGAAAATGAGAAGGGAGAATGGCCTTTGAGACTCTGGAAGACAACTCTGGAGGCAGTGGCAGGAGGTCAGGCTGGAAGTGGGGAGACCACTTGGGGGCTATTCTTTATAGCCTCCAAAAGAAATGAAGGGGACTTGAGCAAGGGCAGCCGGGAGAGAGGGTGGTGTTGGCAAGAGCTTTGGAAGGCTGAGTTGTCAGGACTGAGTTGATTGACTGTGGCTGGTGTGGGAGGAGAAACCTGGGTGACTCCCATCCCCTTAGCTTGAGGGATGAGTGTATGTGGGTGCCATTGACGAGACAGGGATTCAGGAGGAGGAGAATTAGGGAGGACAGTGGCTTCAGACCAGCGAGGGTTTCTCACCCTCAGCATTATTGACATTTGGGCCTGATAACTATTTGTTGTGGAGGGCTGTCTGTGTGTTGTAAGATAGTCAGCAGCTTCCCTGGCCTCTCCCCACTAGAATTAGAGGTCCCCAAAGACAGCCAGGTGGAGCCAATCAACAGATGGTTGGATATTGGGGTGTGGGAGCTCAGGAAACAGCTTTGCGTGTTGTTTTCCAGGGCACCCAAGGGCGAGTGCTGAGTAGGAAGGCCAGGAGATTGGTGTTCAAGTTGTGTGAACCCAGTCCTGGCCTCCCGAGTGTCTTATGGGTGTTTTAAGAGGAAAAAGACTACCTTATTCACTTCAGTAGTCCTTCAACACTATGCCTGGCATAGTTGGTGCTCAATAAAGATTTGGAGAATTGTGTGAACTTGATCTGGGAAGAACAGGAAAACCCAAACAGCCTGAGAACCACTGTCCAGGGCAACACTGGGAGGCTTGGTCAGGGAGAAGCTGGGGGGTTGGGAAGAGGGTCTAAGTGTTCAGGACCATCGGCCTGCAGGATCTGGCAAAACCAGGATGTGGGGCATCAGCAACCCTCACAGTAACAGCCTGAGAACCACTGTCCAGGGCAACACTGGGAGGCTTGGTCAGGGAGAAGCTGGGGGCTTGGGAAGAGGGTCTAAGTGTTCAGGACCATCGGCCTGCAGGATCTGGCAAAACCAGGATGTGGGGCATCAGCAACCCTCACAGCCACTGGTAGGAGTGTAAGTGGCACAACCTAGCAAAGGTGAAGAGGTCATTCTGGCCCACTCAGCAATTGCACTACTCAGTAGAGAAAGTCTTCAACGCAGCACTTTTGGTGGTAGTAGAAACAGAAAACCACCCAAATGTCCGTCAACAGGAAATGAATGAACAAACGATGGTGTTCTCATCATTTCATCATTTCACAGCCAGAAAATGAATAAACTGTAATTATCAACAGGGATGAATTCACAACTGTCATGCTGAAGGGGGAGGCAAGAAGCATGCATTTATGTAAGGTTTACGAAAAGTTGCAGACCTAAACAATGTGCTGTTTAGGGATTCATAAATGTGTAGTAACATTATAAAGAAAATCAAGAGAATTATAAACACATTTGAGGCTCACATTTACCTTTGTGGAGAGGAAGGGGTTATGACTGGGGAGGGGCACACAGAGGCTTCAAAAGTAGTTGTAATATCCTAATTTTTTCAATGAGGGGCATATGGGTGTTCATTTTATATTCTTTAAATTGTTCATATATTTAAAATGTAAGCATATGCTGGTCGCTTCCTCCAGGGAGAGTCCACCAAAGCAGGGCTTATCACAACTGGGAATTCCCTGGTCAAAGGCAGAAGTTTTTAACATTTCCCAGCCTGAGCTGGCTGTTGGCTCACTTGGGAGAGCATGTTGCTGGTGACACCAAGGTCAAGGATTCAGATCTCCTTACCAGCCAGCCGCCAAAGAAAAGAAAAAGAAGTGTTCAAGATTTCCCAGCCAGCGGTGGGGGAAGGGTTTCCCTCTCTCCTCCCATCTCTCAAGGCTCTGAGGTGCCCCAGGCGATCAGGCTCTGGAATCGCCCAGATGCAAGGCTCACAGGGCAGCTTCTTTTCCAGAGAGGCCAGAGAGGAGCTCCCGGGCGATCCACAGCCCCAACCAGCTGGCTTGGAAGTCACATCAGGACATTTCGGTTCCCATCACCCATCTCAGCTGAGCAGCTGCCATGCCCATGGCACTCTTGGGGGAAGAGGAGATAAGGAATGAATGGGGTGATAAAACGCACACCCTAAGAATCCAGGGCAGTAGCTCCCTGGCTTTCGGTTTTTACAAACAAACAGTAATTTGTTAATATGAATACTTAGGGAGTACAGTGTCACCACCATTTTACTCTGTGAAGTAAGAACACTAGAAAACAACAGTTCCCACCTACTATCCTCCCACCTCATAAGTAAAGGACATTTTAATACTACGATAAAAAAATGAAGGCATGCGTGCTTTCAGAACAAAGGAGAGCCCTTTCCGCTGAGCACATTTAGCTTTGTGAAAATCTCACTACATTTATGACCCTGGTTTCCCCACAGTGGGGTGGGGCAGTTGACACTTGGGTCACAAGGAGCCGATTAGGAGAACAGCGTCCGGGAAACACAAGTACAGGCACACACAGGCGTCCATCCACTCACGGGCAGGCGAGCCCGCAGATGGCGTGTACATGCCCACGTGCACGCCAGGCTCACCCCTTCAGGTGAACAGCCCGCATGTTCACACACTCTTCCCACACACCTGCCCTGGCCCCCAGGGGAGGCCATACCTCTGTCCTGAACCCGGGGCCAAGGGCCAGGCTCACCATCCTGTGCCAGCCCTTGAGAGAGGCCAGCTGTTAGCACTGCAGCAAGTTGGGGTGCTGAGCAGCTGATGGGCAGCTAGGCAGGCTTCTCGGGTCCCTGGGCCTCTGCCTCTTACTGAGAGACCAAAGCTGTGCCCACATCCAGTTTTCTCAGTAGACCAGGAGTCCAGGGACCTGTGTCCTGGTCCTGGTTAGGTCTGTGACCTTGAGCAAGTTACTTTCCCTTTCCAAGCCCCCAGATATTGACTGCAGTGCCCCGTGCCAATGCCACAGAGTTATCAAGGCTCCCTCTGATCAGCCATGGCCTCAGGGGACCCACAGGCCCACTTAGGAGTGTGTCTTGGGAGTCAGAGAATGGCCTTGCTCCTTGCCTCTACTGTGAGACCAGCAGGCTGGCAAGCTTTGGGGTCAGGAGAGGAAGCTGCTGTCTGCACTTGTCCCAGTGACCTGTCCCAGCCTTTGGCAGCTTGGTCACCCACCTGGAACAAAACTGCCCCCCTGTCTGCCCAGCCCAGAGCCTTGTGGGGAGTGTGACTCACTTCGTGGGGGGCCATTGTGGCTAATGTTTAACCTGGCCCTTCCTTCAGTATGGCACTTTAGCCCCAGCAGCCCTGAGCGCTGGGCCCTGCCCTGATCACCTCTGCCACTAAGTGGGCTCCAGACACACAGCTGGGCTCGGCATCCTTGCCCCATGGGGGTGGGGGCACCTTCTGGGAGAAAGGGATGGCAGCAGCTGACCTCCTGAGGGCTCTGGGACAGACAGGGTGGTAGCAGGTGGCATCCTGCCCTGGTCATTCATACCACAGCGAGGAGCACCAGTCCCATCTCCAGCCACAGAGAGAGAGGGTGCCCGCCCAGCTGTTCTGTGTTTTAGTTATTGACAGACATCTCCTAAGAAGCCCCCCATCTCTCCACCCCAGCCCAGGCCCTACTGTTGAAGGGAGACCTCATTGTTGCACATGTGGGTGTCCCTTGCATCTCATTTGAATGTCTCCCTTTTAGGTGGGATGTGGGAACTCCCCTGGTACATATGCAGGGCACCTGTCCCCCAGCTGTGTCCCTTCTGGAAAGTGGCTGGGTGGGCTCTGTTGAGGCAAGTCTGATCCTAGCAAAGGGCAACCCCAGGTTCCAAGCTCCAGCCTGCAACTGTCAACCCCTGTAACTTAGAGTGAGCTGCTTAAACTCATTTCTTCTTCTGTAAATTTGAGATAATAGTATCTACTTTTTAGGTTTTCATGAGAATATGATATAATTCTGATAAAGCATTTAGCCTAGTATATTTATTATTGAAGTAGTGAATAGGAGTGTGGACTCTAACAGACCTCCTGGGTTAAATCCTGGCCCCCACCACTTATTAGCTGTGTGATCGTGGGAAGTCACTAGCCTGTCTATGCCTCAGTTTCCCTCTGTAACATGGGAACAGTAAAAGTTCCTTGCCCATAGGATTGCTGTGAAGATTAAATGAATTAAGTGCCCAGAGCATGCCTGGCACATGGTAATTGTGCTGCGGGGTAATAAGTAGCTGTCTTCAGCGGGAGCCCCCCCCACCCCCCAGTGCTGCTCACCTTGAGTCAGGCTGAGTCGTGGTGGGCCTGCATGGTGAGAAGGGACTGGAGTGGGATAGGGCTGCTCCAGAGACCATGCCTCCCACCCCAGGCCCTGCTCATGGCTAAGCAGCCCCTCCCTAGATCCCTCTCCTGCCCCAAAGGAGCTCTGTGACAGAGCTCTCCTTCCCACTCATCCACTCCGGGTCCCTCAGTCTTTGTTCTCGCTTCGGCCTCACATGAGATGGTTAGGACTGGTCCTGCCTGGAAGCAGAAGGAGGCACCCAGTGACCTCCAGGAGGCCTTTGGATGGGGTTTCTGCCTTTTCCCTGAGGGCCTTAGGCCTGGTCGTGCTGCACAGGCCCCACCTTCTCCTCCCATAGGCCCTCTGCACCCAGGTGTTTGCTTTGAGTCAGGCCCAGGGCTGGTCTCCCGCCTTTGTAGGGCAGGGTGGAGACCCCAACCTGCCAGGGCCCCAGGTCAATGGTCGACTGGTGGAACTGAGATCTGGCTCTGGAACTTGGGGCCAGGCTCTATCAAAGGCCTGGGAAGAGGTGAAACAGGAAGGCCATGTTTTGGACCCAGGCCAACCGGGAGGAACCCTGTGAGGCAGGGAAGGGTGGGTTTCTGTGGCTGCCTGGGCATGAAGCCTAATGCCATCCTCTGTGGCATGGAGCAGCCCTGTCAGGTTCTCCAGCTTCGTGTGTGTGTGACTGGGTGTGTCTGTGCCTAAGGGTTTGCGTGTATGGTGAGAGTTGTGCTTTTTGAGCACATCTGCCTCTCTGCCCACCAACCTATTCATAGCAAAAGTCCTGGGCAGAGCAGTGTTTCCCCTAATGCGTCCCAAGTTGCTGGTCCCCACTGCCGTAATCCCTGGAAGGGGCTGGCAGGCTGAGCAGCCCTGGGTGCCAGACCATGCCAGGGAGTAGCTGGCACAGCACTTTGCACCAGCTTCTGGCATCTGTGGCAGAGGGCAGAATGGGGACTCAGTAAGGGTTGGTGGAAGGGGGCTGCTCAGACAGCTCAGCCTGGCCTGGGACCATTGCTGAGGCAGTTGGTAAGCCAAAGGGCCCCAGGTCTGGGAACAGTCACCTCCCTCGTAGGCTTAGCTCAGGAGTCACCGTGACACTTCCCTGAAAAGTCAGTCTCAGCTCTGGCCCGGAACTTTGGTCTCTGCTCCATAGGAGCCACTATCCTCAGTGTGTGGGAGGGACAGTGGCTGTCCCACTCCCCATTCCACCCCAGCAGGCTTATGCCCCTCACCAGGATTTGGATCCAGATGTCAAGAGATGGAGAAGGACCTGACCCAGAGGACAGACCACTGGCTGCCTCACATCAGGGAAAGAATCGGTCCTGGGGGATATGACCAGTGCAGGGGAGTGAAGGGGAAATGACTGGGAGGAGGGTGGACAAAGGTGGCGAGAGCAGGAACAGCAACCGGGGAAGGGGCCACCTGGTGGCCAGCGTTGGAACTGCAGGGTCTCGCCAGCGTGCTGAGCAACTCACCCCCTGTGCCAGCAGGACCAGGGTGAAAGCACCGTGATCTCTTAGCCCAGAACAGTCAGGTACATCCAGCAGGCACCAGGGAAAGGTGGTCCAAGTTTGCAGAGGAAGGGAAGTGTGAAATCAGGCAAGGCAAGCGACTGCGTGGAGAGGCCCCTCTTGATAGCTGGAGTCAGAGTGGGACTGGCCTATTCTCAGAGGTCAGGGCTTTGGTAAGCCAAACCCCTGGATGGTGGGGGTGTGCTCTGTGATGTCACTGGGACTGGGCAGAACGAGCCAGGGATCTTAGCAGGCAGCTGCCCATTGCTCAGCCCTCCATCCTAACCCCGAGTTCCAGCACAGCCCTTTCTTCACTGACTCCCCTGTCTTCCCTTTGTTACGAGTGCTCATGGTCAGAGCTACAGAAATGACCAGGAAACTGGGTTTTTAATGGGGAGGCCATGACACCTGTGGACACTGTACATCATCACAGCAGTGAAGGGAGGTGACATGGGTTGGGGAAGGTCCTTTGTTACGAGTGCTCATGGTCAGAGCTACAGAAATGACCAGGAAACTGGGTTTTTAATGTGGAGGCCATGACACCTGTGGACACTGTACATCATCACAGCAGTGAAGGGAGGTGACATGGGTTGGGGAAGGCGCTTCACAGTCTCCTTCTCAGCTTGCTGTACCACGGGTGGCCGGGAAATCGTAGGGTGTCTCCCATGGGCGGCTGGCAGCCCACCCTACTGGGGTGAGGTCTTCAGACACTCGTGTTTCTCACGTCCTGTGTGTTTGTTTAATCCCAGTTCCAGAAGAGGGCATGCAGGCTGGAGGGGAGAGGTGGGCCAGGGAGGGAGGCTCCAGACAGACGTGGGGAGAGAAGTGGGTGAGCAGGGTGGGAGGAAGGAGACGAGGGGCAAGAGCCCAGAGTGCAGCACAGCAAGCCGGCCTGTGGGGACAAGAGCGGAAGCCATCAGTTCACAGTGAGCCGTGTGTGGTTTATGAATCCCTGACTTACCCACAGCACATTCGGTCCCCAGGGCTTCTCACCACTAGCACGCCCAGGGTGGATCGCCATCCACAGGGGTCCTATGAAGCTTCAGCTTCCTCACCCGGGACCCAAGTTCTCTGCCCTTTCTGAACCCTCCCACTGCTCCTCCACGTTGCAGCTCCTCAGCCCTCGCCTGGCCTTGCCACCCTCCTCCATGACTGGCTAATTCTCACCTGTTTTTATTCCACCATCAGCCTTTCTGACTCGCCCTTCCCATTTACCTGCTATCACTTGCCTAACCCATCCTCAGAGAGCTCCTCCTCTCCAGAAAGCCTTCTCTGCTTGGTGGTGCTATCACCAGACCCCTGCCCTATTGCACACTCTCCCAGCACTTCCATAAAGGGTTTTGCGTGGCCTCATTTTTTGCTTTGTCCAGTTTCTCCAGCCATTTCCTCAGAGGTTGGGAGGTCTTGCCTTCTCTGAGTGGCACCTTCCTGGGAGCAAGGCCTGTGAGTGCTGGGTACTTTGCAGGGTGCGCAAATAAAGCACATGGCCAGGACGCATTCAAAAGAGCTTAGATTTTCAGAAAGTCAGAGCTGGAGAGACCTCAGGGATCATCTAATCCAGTAGTTCTCAAACTCTTGTGTGCATTAGAATCACTCAGAGGGCTAGCCCCACCCCACAGTTTCAAGTTCAGTGGGTCTGGAGTGGGGCTCAATCATTTGCACCCAGGTGATACAGATGCTGCTGGTCCCAGGACCACACTTTGAGAACCACTGATCTCATACAACGTTCAATTTTATAGATGAGGGGAACAAAGAGGATCCCAGAGCAGTTCTGGAGCCAGGACTGAGCCCCCGAGCGCTGACTGGCACCGGCACTTTTCTCCCTGCACTGCATGGACACAGCTCCCAGCCCCTATCCCGAAGCCCTTAACTATCCTTTAGACCCTGAGGGCTGCCCCCCGAGAAGAAGGGAGCTGGTCTCTGGGTACCTTTACTGTGAGGTCGGAGACTTGGCAGCATCAAACATCTTCTTCCGGCCTTCCATCCCAGACATGGCCTCCACGTTCTTCCTCCAGTCACCCACCTCCACGGGCCGCTCCTGGTGGACAGGCCACACACACATCAGAGACTCACTGGCCACAGGGCCACCAGGGTCCCCCACTCAAGAGAAACTGGGTGGTAGAAAATTAGCCTTCTCAAAGCTATAGGGAATCCTGACACCCTTGCCCAGCTGGTGAGGTGTGAGAGCATGGCCAGACAGGCGGACACGGGTCAAGCTGAGGCTCCACAGGGAGAAGGCAGCTGTGGGTTGGGAGTCCCAGGTGATCGTGGAGGAGCTCCAGGGCCGCTTCCCTCCCCAGTGCTCCACAGCCCCCCGCCACCTCCAGGCCCCACGCCACAGACTATGCTCCTGTCATCCCTGTTCCTTACAGGGCCTGTCAATTCTGGGCACATACACTGTGAGTTCAACAAACGCTGAGTGATTAGTTGCTGAGTGATTCAACTTGGTTCTCTAATTTCTGTGCTCATGTGTCCCTATAACCACGATGCAGTTCTGTCTCCTTTTCCTGTAGTGACGGGGGCAGTGTCTCCCTCATCACCCTAAATCTCCTTATGCTCTTCACACTGGATGCACAACTGTTACTTTATTCTTCAGTCTCCCTTTTTTCGTGTCCCTGGGAGCAGCCTGAGGAGAGGGAGCAAACCCAGGGGTTCTAGAATGTTCTGACTGACAGGCTGACTGGCCTCCAGCAGGAGCTGCCGGGCCTGCCTGAGGCTGTGTGAGGGGGTGACAGGTGAAGGCTGGTAGGTCAGGGGGTGGAAGGCTCTGAGGAGAGGGGCCCTCACCTTCTCTGTGTCTTCCTTCTTCACGGACTTGAGGTTGGCCCGCAGATCCATGGACACCTTGTGCTTGGAGCCCAGCAGGGCCCTGAGCATGGCGTCAGCCGAGACACGGACCCGACGCAGGGGCGGGCGCTTGAACTTCCCACGGAGGTCCAGCACCTTCAGCTTCAGGTCCTTAATCTGCAGGTGAGGAGGGGCCAAAGCTCACTACAGGTGCCCTTCCCGAGGGTTTCATACTGCTAGGGTTCCAGCCAGAGCCACACCCCAAATGCCCCAGCCTTGAGGCCAGACCCTCTGGGACACTCAGACCCACCTATGCCTTTGCAAATATCCACACATGTTTGGTGATAAGTGAGTGGACAGTGAGAGCCCATTAGTCATCGCTAACACTGCAGCCCTGGATGAAGGGGGCGGCTGCACCCAGCTCAGCACTCGTGTGGTTTGGAAGCCCTGTTTGGAGTGTGGAGCTGCTTCCTCTCATTCCTGTGGCCTCATGCCTGCTTGTAACTAGTTCCTCCTCAGCGAGCCTTCAAAGCAGCTCACAGCCCTGGTCCAGCAAGGTGGATAAGCCTCCAGGCCCTGGAACCTTGGAGGGATTTCCAGGGTGTGATCTCTGGAGGGAGTTTTTTGGAGCTTGGTGACCCCACAGGTCATCATTCCTGGTTGGCAGAAATGGGAAGGCAGGAGGTGGCTTATGCTACCTCCCTACTCCCTCCTCACTGCCCAGAAGCAGCCCTCTGCAGCAGCAGGAGCCCTGCCCTTCCCGCTCTGCCCTGCCCCCTGGTGCAGGGTCTGGAAGGGTCCAATGCTCCCACACCCCATACGGAGGGAGCACTGAGCACCGGAGTGGGAGTCAAAGACCACCACCAGTCCCGGGTGTGACCACTGTGTGACCTGGCTGAGTTCCTTAGCCTCTCCAAACCTCAGTGTCCTCATCTGTGAGGTGCAGATAATAGCCCCTACTTCATCCACCGGCGTGCAGGGAGGATCAAAGGATAGAAGCACATGAAAGTACTTTGCAAAGGTAGGATGTTATTAACAGGCGTATGATTATTTGTGTGGGTGAATAAAGAGGGCGGCTTCTGTTAGACTGAAGAGCCCAGGTAGCAGGTAGGGAGGAAGCTTGTGCTTTCCATGTGCAATTATCCTCTCTGCTCATCTCCACCCTATGGGGCTGGTCTGGGGGAAGCAAAGCTTCCTGCCTAGTGGCCACCTCCCAGGCCTGCCAAAGGAGGGGCTTCTCCCCTCGCTGCTGCATCAGCCGGACATCACCCGCTCTCTCCCCACACAGCCCTGCCCTGGCCGGGCCCTCCCCTCCCTCTGACTCACCTCCCTGGTGTTGTGGATGCATTTGGCCTCGATGTCGTAGCGCTCTTCGTCCACCAGCTCCACCTTGGCGTGCAGCTCCCGGCACAGGTCCTGGGGAAGCAGACTGATCAGGCGGGAGTGGAGACGAGGCGAGGAGAGCTGTCCGTCTGCAGCCTTCCTTTTCTGCCTCCAAGCCTGGTGCCCTTGGCCCTCTCCCCGGTCCCTTTGCAAGACCTGAGCTCTGGAGATTAGCTGCTAAACCCTTCACTCCCGGGCTCGCAGCAGGCGATCGATAGCTCAGAGGGGAAGCCCCCTCTTCTCCTTTCTGTGTGTCCTTGTTTTCTTTAAAATCATTTTCTTATCATCAAAGTAATATAAGTTAGTTGTAGAAATTTTAAAAATTATCTATTAAACAAAAATAATAAAGAGATTGCCATCGGTGACATTTTGATAGATTTCCTCCAGTTTCTTGTCTATGATTACTGGCATTTAAACAGTTGCCGATGTTTTAAAAACATTACAGACCTATCTGTAGGGGAAGGACGGGTAATCATTGGAGAAATGGGCCTTTCTGAGTCCCGCCCCCCTCCCCGCTCCGTGCCATCCCACTGGCAGCTGTAAAGCGGGCTGCACGTAGTCCAGTGCTCCCCAGGCAGGTCACTTCGCCCCTCTGAGGCCACTTCCGGCACCTGTGAAAGGGGACCTACTGTCGCCTCCTCACAGGCAGTTGCGAAGATTAAACGAGACCATGTAAGGGAGGAGCCTTGAGCCGGCGTCAGCTCAGCTCCTGCCGCCTGGCCCCGGGGCGCCCGACAGGCTCACCTGCAGGGCGCTGAGGGACAGTCCGCGGGTCTGCAGAGTGGGCATGCGCTCGGCCAGGTAGCGCACCTTCTCGGCCTCACGTTCCTCGTGCTCCTGCTCCCAGAACTCCTTGGCCTTGGCCAGCATCAGGCTCTGCACAGGACAGACCCTCTGCATGGGACTCGGCCCTGTGTCTCCCACCCGGCGTCAGGGAGTGAGGGCTGAGGGAAGGTGGCCCAGGCTGCACAGGTCCAAGGCCACGTCAACGTGGACATGCGCACCTGGCCATCCACAGTCTGTGCGGTCACATCCAGTGACAACACGTGCCATTCCTCGGTCCCTGGAGCTTGTTTTTCCCTCACAGTCTTTCTCTTACCCACTTTTTGTCTCCAAAGACAGAAACACGTCCCAAAATAAAGCAAGTCTGTCTCCCCCAGTGGATTCCCACCCTGAGGCCGGGCACCGCCTCCTCTCAGGATCCCAGGCAGGTGCCAGAATCCATCATAGTTCCAGGATTCTGCCCACTGACCATCTGAGCCTGGCACTGGCCCCCTCCATGTCCTCATCGTCCTGCTCTGGTCTCCTTATTGCTGCCCCCATAACACTCCACACCCCTCAGAGTCTGCACTGCTGCCCCTCTGCCCCCTACGGGACGTCCCCCAAGCCAGTGCCCAGTCTCACCTTCAGCAAGAGTTTGCGGGAAGCAGTGATCTTGGGTTTTCTCTGAGGGTGAGAAGGGCCAGAGGCAGGTGGTAAGGCGGAGGCTGCAGAACCGGAATTCTGGTCCAAGCCAGGACAAGTACCAGCCGGGCTTCACCATCTTACCCAGAATCCTCTGCTTGCCTCAGGGTCCCTTAAAAGCTCATCTTAGTAATTTAACCCCTCACATTCATAGGACACTGCAGTCAGCTACCTTCGGTGGTAAGGCGGAGGCTGCAGAACCGGAATTCTGGTCCAAGCCAGGACAAGTACCAGCCGGACTTCACCATCTTACCCAGAATCCTCTGCTTGCCTCAGGGTCCCTTAAAAGCTCATCTTAGTAATTTAACCCCTCACATTCATAGGACACGGCAGTCAGCTACCTTGACCTAGGGACCAAAGCCCTCACTTCCCATTCTGGATCTGTTGCTGGAATCTTGTAAGATACTGTGCAGGTCACATGGCCTCTAAGGGTACCTCCTTCCTCATCCATAAATAAAGATGTTGAGACCCACCTTACTTAGTTCACAGAGTTATTACAGACAAAATGAGATGGTGGATGTGCAAATCCTTTGAAAAGCATAAAAGAGATGTATGTGTTAGCACTCTGGGTGGTGATACAGCAGTACCTTGAAGATCTGTCATACTGCAGAAAAAAGCTGTGAATTTCCCAAATAAATAAAGCATATGTATGTGAACATCAAAACNACCTAGGGACCAAAGCCCTCACTTCCCATTCTGGATCTGTTGCTGGAATCTTGTAAGATACTGTGCAGGTCACATGGCCTCTAAGGGTACCTCCTTCCTCATCCATAAATAAAGATGTTGAGACCCACCTTACTTAGTTCACAGAGTTATTACAGACAAAATGAGATGGTGGATGTGCAAATCCTTTGAAAAGCATAAAAGAGATGTATGTGTTAGCACTCTGGGTGGTGATACAGCAGTACCTTGAAGATCTGTCATACTGCAGAAAAAAGCTGTGAATTTCCCAAATAAATAAAGCATATGTATGTGAACATCAAAACATTTAAAAATGTTAACACTATTCATATAAGTCTTTCTAACATATAAAAACACTGTTTTCTTATGAAAAATACCAGACATGTCCTTGCTCACCGTATATGTTCTAATAAGTCTTAGTAAGTCCTAGCTCCATGGCAGAGGTCCCTCAGGGGTGGGGAAGGTGCATAGGTCTGCTCAACCTCTAACTAATGAGATGAGGATGCCTTCTGAGCACTGGTGTCTCTTCTGGGCCATAGGTTGTCACCTCTCATTGCTACCAGTGAGCACCCTGCTTACTTCCACCATGCCGTGCACTGGAAGGGCATAATCCTAGTTTGTTACTCTAGTGTGTAACGTGGGAGTGATCAGGCTTCGGATGAGGAGTTCTCATGGGAGACAACACATGAGTTTTAGTGCACAGAATGTGGGACTTCAAATCTGACTGTTAAGAGTTGTTTATTCTTTCCTCTCCTAAGACCTAGAGTTTTGCTACATTTCAGATACGTGTGATTTTGAGAGAAATGACCTGTCACTATAACCATTACCACCCATCGTTTTCACACTTCAAGGTCCCCACGACAAATGTTTTATCGCAGTCTTGTTTTCTTTCCACCAGGCGAGCTTATGGCCGCATCATTTGGCCACCGGTAAATGAGGCCTCACTTTAATATGAGCCTCAGCAAAACTTAGAACTTCATATGACTATTGAAAAGTAGCATATTCAATTCTCTATAAGAATCTCTGTGCCAAAGTCCCCTCCGGCAGGGCTGCAAACTGCCACCCTCGCCATCCCTGAGTCCACAGCCCTGTCCCGACAGTCCTTATCCCTGGGCTGTACATAGGCTGTGTTCTCAGCAGCCCATCTGGATTGTAGANGACAGTCCTTATCCCTGGGCTGTACATAGGCTGTGTTCTCAGCAGCCCATCTGGATTGTAGACAATGACCAGGGTCTGGGTTATCTGAGACCTGAGGGGAATGTAAGGACATATCTTTGCTCCTCCCTCAGTGTTCGGTCATTGGGCAAGGGTGGAATAACCCAGTGACTATCCCTTTACCCTTCAACCATGGTTTGCACAGGATCAGCTCTGCGAGGAACAGGATGGTCCCCCAGGGCTGGCCTAGCTCTCAGAGTGGGTGAAGGAGAACTTGTGTTCAGCAAGAGTACAGAGTCACACCCAGCTCTGCTGTGGTCCCAGCCCCAAGACTACCTTCCAGTGACATTGTGCACTGGGATGCCAACCCCCTGGACACCAGGAAGCCCATATCCAGAATCTTCACCCAGATTTCTATTCTCCTGGGAATTTTCTCAGCCACTGGGCACCCCCCACCCCCATCCCAGGCCTTGACCCAAGCCCTCTGCTATCCTCAGATGCCCACACCACCCTCACCAGGCTGAAGAGTTAACTAGGACAAAGACACCCAAATATCACTTACCTCGCTTCAGACATCCATCACAGGAAGGATGGGGGAGAGAGCAGAGCACAGAGTGAGTATGAACCTTGTGTGCTATAGCAGCATCAGCAGAACCGTGCAGACCGGCTTGGGGGAGGAGGGGACGGGTGATGACGAGGTGCCAGAAAGAAATCACGCACCAGACAGGAGGACCATGGTGTTCAAGGGTTCCAGCAGAATAGAATAAAAACCCAATGGCCCTTGCTACGGGACGTTCTTACTGGGAAATACTGGCCATTGCTATTTGAGGAGCAGTGGTGGAAGGTCAGGGAAGCCTTGATGTAAGGTTCCAGTGATGTGAAAGTTTCCATCACTGGGCTTGTGGGTAAATTCCCAATGCTTTGTTCATCCACTGGGCCCATGTTAAGTCAGTGCCTGGCACATGCAATTTACTTGACCCGTGCAGACAGGAAAACTCTGAAGCACAGCCCAGAAAGGTCTTCCCGGGGCCACCTGGGAGTGTGAGTTCTGCTCAAAGGCTATAAGGACACATGGTGACACTGGAA